AGGAAAATCAGCACAAGTCTGTACTCACATATTTTTTTCTACCAATTAATTATTCAAAAGAGTACATGACTACATTAGCAGATGTTATTTAACAGAGAAGACAGCTACATTTGCTTGTGTTGACTATTACAAAAACATTAGGCACTATTTTGAAAGGAAAATAAGAAAATACACTCTTTACACTCTCACGGGCGAGATCCAAGATGGCTGATCACTAACAGCTCAGGATTGTAGCTCCCAGTGAAAGCTCAGAGAACGAGAGGACGCCACACTTTCAGACGAATTTTCGTCACTCACGGACCAGCAGTTTTCTAGTGGAGGAGCCCCACGGGTTGCCAGCGCAACTCTTGTGGCCGGCGCAGCCATTTTGCCGGCTCCTTGGAGCGGCAGCTCTTCATGCAGAGTAAACGGGACTGGTTCCCTTACTGACTGGTGTTTGGAGCTCCGGGAAGGCAGAGCCACTTGTTGCGGACTCAAGAAGGAAGCCAGACCAGAGATTCCCAGGCAGAAGAGCACCATTAGTCTTATTGCTGCTATTTTGGCCGGTGCAGTGGGTTGCTTGAATCCGAGTACTGGGAATCAATAAATTGGACGTCGACTCAGAAACCTAATTAGAAAGGCGGTAATTGTAAAGACGACAGATGGATAAATTTATAATAAAGGGAAAAAAACAGCCTAAGAAGGCCGAGCATACCCAAAATCAGAACCCCTCTCTCTCTACAGGGGATTGCAGTTCCTCATCAGCAACGGAACAAGCCCTGATGGAAAAGGACTGTGTTCCATTATGTGAAGTAGGCTTCAGAAGGTGGATGATAAGAAAATTCTGGGAATTAAAAGAACTTGTTTTAACCCAATGTAAAGAAACTAAGAACTTTGAAAAAAGGTTTGACGAAATGCTGAAAAGAATAGACAATATAGAGAGGAATATAAATGAACTAAAGGAGTTGAAAAATACAACACGAGAACTTAGTGAAATATGCACAAGTTTAAATAGCAGAATGGATCAAGCAGAAGAAAGGATATCAGAGGTCGAAGACCAACTTAATGAAATAAAACGACAAGACAAGAATAGAGAAAAAAGGATGAAAAGGAATGAGCAAAGTCTCCAAGAAATATGGGACTATGTGAAAAGACCCAATCTACGTTTGATTGGTGTACCTGAATGTGATGGAGAGAATGAATCCAAGCTGGAAAATACTTTTCAGGATATTATCCAGGAAAATTTTCCCAATCTAGCAAAGCAGGACACTATTCAACCCCAGGTAATACAGAGAACACCACAAAGATATTCCTCAAGAAGAGCAACCCCAAGGCACATAATTGTTAGATTCACCAGGATCAAAATGAAGGAGAAAATACTAAGGGCAGCTAGAGAGAAAGGTCAGGTTGCCCACAAAGGGAAGCCTATTAGACTTACAGCAGATCTCTCAGCGGAAACCCTACAAGCCAGAAGAGAGTGGGGGCCAATATTCAACATACTTAAAGAACAGAACTTTCAGCCTAGAATCTCATATCCTGCCAAACTAAGCTTCACAATTGAAGGAAAAATAAAATCTTTTATGAACAAGCAAGTACTCAGAGATTTTATTACCACCAGGCCTGCTTTACAAGAACTTCTGAAAGAAGCATGATACATAGAAAGGAACAACCAGTGTAAGCCTTTCTAAAAATATACCAAAAAGTAAAGAGCATCAACATAAAGAAGAATTTACATCAACGAATGGATAAAATAGCCAGTTAACATCAAATGGCCGTAACCCTAAATTTAAATCGACTAAATCCCCCAATCAAAAGATACAGCCAAAACCTAACGGTATATCCAAAGATACACAAAGACTCAAAACAAAGGGTTGGAGAAAAATTTACCAACCAAATGGAGAGCAAAATAAATAAATAAACAAAAAGCAGGAGGTGCAATTCTCACATTTGATAAAATAGATTTCAAAGCAACAAAGATACAGTGGTAAAAGGATCAATGCAACAATAAGAGATCTTAATACCCAGATACATAAGACCCATAACGAGATTTAGACTCAACGAGACAGAAAATTAATAAGGATATCCAGGACTTCAACTCAGATCCGGAACAAGTAAACTCAATAAATATTTATAGAGTTCTCCATTTTAAATACACAAAATATTGATCGGCCATTATTAATACCCATTTTTAGAATGAAGCAATATTCCTGTTCTCTCTCCCTTTTTCTTCCTTTCTTCCTCTTTCTTCCTCTCCTTCTCTCCTTTTTTTACTTTTCAACATCCTAGTTCCTCACCTCTACTCAATACATTCCTCTGAACACCTGATTCCTTGTGATTCTCCCATCCCACTGAAAACTCCAATCCATAAAAAAAAAAAGAAAATACACTCTTGAACAATAAAGCTGCTTAAGAAAGCTAAAGGAATGAAAAGTGGAAGCCAAAAATGCAAATAACAACAAATCATTCTCCTGGGTTAAAAGCTGTTGCCCATATGTCAAACTCCTTGTAAATAGATCTTATGGGATCAGAAACTTTCTAGGATCTATCAAGTTTGGAAAGCTTTGGTTAAAAAAATAAGAAACTAACCCTTTCAAAAATACAATTACATCTATTTTTGTCAGTGACATATCTTATGAGGTTTTAATGACTAGTGCCTTTTCTTAATAAACTCAGGCAATAATGTAAAAAATTTTTCTTAAGTGTGCAGAGAAAGAACTATTTGAGTTAGATTTTAGAAATCAATGTAAAATGTTTTCATCGAACTATATAAAAGAAACTATAACAATGGGATTTTTTTTGAGCAAGGTATTGAAGTATTTTAACTTTAAACAACATAAAGATTCTGGTTTTAACATATTTATGCCTAGTGTTCTATTATTGGAATGCTAAGCTTGTGGGACTTATTTATATCCTGCTGCTCAATGTCATCGCAAAGATCTGATTTTTTACGCACAAAAAAGTGCAATCTCCGGCATAAATGAGTTAATGAAGTTGGTAGGAAGTATCACACATATTCCAAACATTTGTTTTGAAAATAAGTCTACAATGGTAACTGATATGAAACATAGATACTAATAATACTAAACTCAATTTTAGACCTAAATGTTAACAAGAATAAAGAGACGACATTTATAGCCCTCACCTCTGAATGACCCTTAACCAAAAGAAGAATTCTGAATCAAATAATACATTTTCATCTATACATGGAATAATTTCTTTGTATTCATTCTCTGGTGCTGATGTCATTAACAGGAAATAAAAAGATGTATATGTCTGAAGACAGAAAATGTGAGTCTTCAGTCCCTCTAAAAATCTCACTACTCTGTACTGAATGCAAAGGAAGACAGAGAAGAGCAGGGGAAGAAGACAAGGGAGGAAGAGAGGAACAAAAATAAACCAATCCAAAATGGAAATGCTTAGTGGGGACACTAAAATACAAATACTACAGCTAAGCATCACTAACACAAAAGAAGCAGTTAAAATAAACACTGAAAGGCTAAGTATCTTGCCCAAGGTCATATAACAAACTCACTCAAACACCCAATCGGACATCAAAGCAGTAATAAATTATACTCTCTTGATGACCTATTCAACTGGACTTGGCAAAATCATAATTAAAATGGTAAAATGATTCTGTCTAGAAAAAAAATACTGCACTAAATTATAATCTGGAATGAAGAGAGACTTTTTTGCATACTGCAACTAAGATGACCTTTGCCACTGAAAAAACAATAGCTATTTTATTTCGTATTCCTTGGAAAATAAACTTATTTCCCACTAAAATATGAGTCAGCTTGAAACTTAAGTTAGAGATGAACATTCTCTAAACAAAAGGCAAAACACTTCAAGAAATTTTTTTTTACTAAAACTCCACTGCTTTCAGATTTTGCCATAATTGGAATTACTTAAGTGGTACCCATACAATTTTACTACAGTATGTGAAGAAAATGTTTAGAATAGAAATAGGAAAATCATTTTTTAAATGCAGTATTTGTTATTTTTATTACAAACACTAAGAATACAGCTTACTCAAAATGGGGGGGGCACAAATTTTTTTCAATTTATTTTCTTTTTTGGGGGGCTAACTCTTTAACACATCCCAGTGTAACCCATATGCTAGCTATGAGAGTCAAAGAGGTGCTTTTATAAACAGCAAATACATTAAAATATATATATTATCATCATTATTATTATTAGGTAATTGCTAGGTAAAACACATCTGATATTAACAGGTGCATTTCTGAATCCTATCAGAAATCCTCACACTTTGTATTGCCATGACTCACGCAAAATAAAGAACTTTTTAAATGCAGATTTCTGATTGTTTTGTCTCCCTTCTCTTACTATTTACTTAATAATGAAGAAATTACTTAATAATCTGTGCACTTGTGCTTTTTCACCTAAAAAATGCAAATAATAAATCTCCCTGCATAGTTGCTGAGATGAACTGAAACAAAATATGTTCTACTACAGTGCCTCTGGCACATATAAGTAGCAGTAATGGTGGTTGTTTTTGTTATCACTAGTTCTACCACCCAGCAGAATCACAACACGAAACCAAAATTTAAAGGATGTAGGATTGTATGTGTCTGAAGGTTAGTCTCAGTAAATAAATCAGTTTCTTCTATAAAACTACAGACAGTTGTGACTTTCCCTCCATCATTCTTGCTACGCTTTATCCTGCTTAACAGCCAGAATGTCTCTGTTGAATTTTTAATTAAATTAACACAGTATTTTCCCCACTCCTCATTCCTTTGATTGCTCTTTTCATCTCTACTCTCTCAGTCAAAAAACCTGGCCATCTGGCTCTTGATCTCTGATACTCACTCATACTATCTTTCAAAGATAAAAATCTGAACCTACTCTTCTGGTAAACCCAATACTCCTGACATTTTGTAGCCACACCTAGATTTCTAGACATCTCTCTCCTGGAGTAAGTTCAGTTCCCGATAAGAATTCAAGGTAATGTTCGCAAACAATGCTCAATCACATAATCTTTGTTTTCATACAAGCATACTGACCTTGAGGTGAGACTGAAGGAAACAGCAAATCCAGGAAGAAAATGTGAAAGAGAAAGTTAGAAAGAATTAATAAGGACAACATTCAGAAATAATATTATTCATGGACATAGGCAAACATAAAACGCAGGATTAGGGAAGAGAAGGAGTCACAAATTCTGCACAGTCACTAAAAAAAGTTATTTCAGATTTCCAACTCTCAACAAATTTCTTGTTAGATTACACCAATGTACTTTAATGAAAGTTTCTAAAGAAAAAAAATTGTCTAAAATTTACCATTTCCTGGGAGAGAAAAAAAACAATTTCTTAAACACTAAGAAAAATAGAAAATTTTAGGCATATCATTCTCATTTGAGTAGTCAGAACTGGCATTAAGTAACTGCACAATTTTAGTATACTTAGTTTTTTTTTTTTTAACTACTGAGGATTTATTTAAAGCACCTATAATAAGGAAATATATTAATAACCAAGGCAAAGGGCTGCTTCAGCTCAGAGGGTTTTATGTGTTTCTGTGGCAGGAAAGACTATTGCCTGATGCAGCTTCCCAGCACTTGTTGGCATGGGTTGTGAGCAGTTTTCTGCTGCAGTATCATAGGCTTTAGCTTGTCAGTCATCATTTTTGCTTTTTTTTTTTTAATTGTACTTTAAGTTCTGGGGTACATGTACAGATCTTGCAGGATTGTTGCATAGGTATATACACGCCATGGTGGTTTGCTGTCTCCATTCCCTCATCACCTGTATCAGGTATTTCTCCCAATGTTATCCCTCCCCAATCTCCCCAGCTCCCACTGTCCCTCCCCTAGTCCCCCAGACCCCCAACAGACCCCAGTGTGTGATGTTCTCCTCCCTGCGGTTGTGTGTTCTCATTGTTCAACACTCACTTAGGAGTGAGAACATGCAGTGTTTGGTTTTCTGTTTTTGTGTCAGTTTGCTGAGAATGATGGTTTCCAGATTCATACATGTCCCTCAAAAGGACATGGATTCACGCTTTTTTCTGGCTGTATATTCCATGGTGTAAATGTGCCACATTTTCTTTATCCAGTCTATCCTTCATGGGCATTTGGGTTGGTTCATTGTTTAGTGCCACAATGAACACATGTGTGCATGTCTTTATAATAGAACAATTTATAATCCTTTGTGTATATACCCAGTAATGGGATTGCTGGGTCAAATGGAATTTCCATTTCTAGATCCTTGAGGAATAGCCACACTTGGTTATATAGACACCCACCTTTTAACTGACTATGCTTTAACCAACCCATTCCATTAAAAGGGTCCAAGCTAATCAACAAAAGCAAAAGCAGAAAACAAAGCTTCTATAGACTATAGAACTCTAATTTACTTGGAATAACTTGAAATAATTTTCTCAAATGTTGAAACATAATTTTATCCTAATAACAACCAGTATTTCTCCCTCCAAATCTTCCAAAATCCTCCTATGGTACAATCTAAAAGCAATAATGAACAAGAATACACAGGTCTGTTTACATCAATTCATTTCCAATGCTGCTCAGCAGTAGGAGATGCAAATTCCTACATAGTATGTATCCCTTAATATTCCTACATAGTATGTATCCCTTACAGTTCATTATTGCCTTTTACAACAAAAAACAGTTTTCTGCTTTTTAAAAAGTAATCAGTTTCACTGAAATTAGTATAATCCTCCAAATAGCTAGGACTTCTAATGACCAGTACCATCTGGATTATCTTCATTGTCTAAATTTTACTTTAAAAAAAATCTGAAACAAAATATTTATTTCTTGAATGCAAGCACCATTTCCATGTACACTTTTCTGTTTTCTACAACTTAGTTATTTCTTGTAAAAGTATAATTCAGTACTTAAAACAAAGGTTCTAAAAAGCTATTGTGAGAATAAAAAAAAGGTAAGAAGGACAAGATTTGTTATAAGATGAAGAGATGAAAAACAGAAACAAAACGACTTGCTCGCAATCACATAGTGAGTGGCAGATCCAGAATCCAATGTAGCAGCCGGGCACTGTGGCTCACACCTGTAATTCCAGCATTTTGGGAGGTCAAGGCGCACAGATCACCTGACATCGGGATTCAAGACCAGCCTAGCCAACATAGTGAAACCCCATCTCTACCAAAAACACAAAAATTAGCCGGGCATGGTGGCGCACGCCTGTAGTCCCAGCTACTCAGGAGGCTAAGGCAGGAGAATCACTTGTACCTGGAAGGTGGAGGTTGCAGTGAGAAGAGATTGTACCACAGAACTCCAGCCTGGGTGACAGAGCAAGACTACGTCTCAAAAAGAATAAGAATGTAGGCCTGCTGACATCTCACCTGGGCACAATTTATATGTTTTATGATGCTTCCTTAGGAATCTATAAAACTCCATGGATCTTTAGCATCTATAACACAATGTAATATGCAGACAATATTCAAAGGCAGATATAACCATCTAAATGATTGCTCCCAACGATTTTTTAAATTTTATTGGTCATGACACAGGAAGTCAAAATAATTTTAGATGAACTTGGACATTAACTGAATCTGCTTTGTAAGGAAGCTTTTATATAACACATGGGTAAATCCATGGCAAAAAACTGAATGTGTTCCTTCCAGAGAGCAACTTTAATTATTAATTTAATTTTTACCTATTTTATTACTCACAAATCATATTTCACTTGAGCATCAAATTATAACTCTTTTTTGGGGGGGAGGACAGGGTTTCAACTGTCACCTAGGCTAGATTGCAGTGGCAAGATCTCAACTCACTGCAAACTCTATTTTCCAGACTCAAGTGATCCTCCCACCTCAGCCTCCCAAAGAACTGGGATGATAAGCATGCAGCAGCACACCTGGCTAATTTTTGAATTTTTTGTAGAGACGAGGTTTCACCATGTGCCCAAGCTAGTCTTGAACTCCTGGGCTCAAGCAGTTCACCCACCTTGGCCTCCCAAAGTGCTAGGATCACAGGCATGAGCAACCACATCTGGCCAAACTATAACTCCTGGGAAATAACTTTAGGAGAAAAATATCTGCACATCAAATTATATGTAATCCTAATGTTTATACTTTTAGGTAAAACATTACAGTAGCCATTAAACACAGATTCCTGTAAGACCATAGTAACAAATTACATGGTGCTGTGTGCCCACAAGAAACTTTGGGAAGATAACCTAACAGAACTGACTACATAAAGCTTTATAACTTACTCTCTTTTTAAAGGAAATCAATGATATTGATCAAAAAGGAAGAAGAAACAAGCAGCTTCCCCAGAAAGCAAGCTGAAGCAAGCAGGATCAGCCAAAGAACCAGTCATCTTCAGTTGTAATATGCTGGCATCTTTCTTTTCCTTTTTAGTTTTTTCATTTTTTAAACATACACCATTCTCCCTCAAGCAAGAACACACATTATATAATTACTCTGAGCCACCAACAGCAGCCCCAGTCATCTCTCTTCTACTCTAATCACATTAAGAGCATATTCTCTGACACTCTACTTCATGGACTGAAGAGGCATATCCCTAAATTTAAAAGTAAGAATTTTTTCTCTAAGGTGACACTTTCCTCATGAATTATACAGCAGTTTATGTCAAACTTGCATATGGCTTAATTTCTGTATTGTAGATATTTGAAGACATAGCAAATGAGTATTAATTCAAGATTTAAGGAAAAATATTTACAACAATAATGACTAAATATCTAGGTTTACATTTTCAGGTTATACTATGCAATAGATGCCTGAATACAATCTGATACTAACATAAATACCATAAAGCCCATTTTTCCAATAAGATGGTCCAAAAGAAACCACTTGGGTCAACCTAAATAAACGAACTCAGGATACAGGTAAATCAGTCAAATATCTAATTTACAATATATAACAGTAAATACAATCATTTGGTTACTACATGTATATTTAAAATGGAATATATGACAAAACAATATTAATTTAGAAATACTATTTTCTTCTACTCCCACGTTCAAGAAAACAATTTTATTCACTCTCTTTGAATGCATCCTTAACATCAATTCACTAACAATAGAAGATGTATCATGGTAAAAAGTATCTTATATTACTGAGAAAGAAAAAAAAGTTATACCAATCAGATTACACCATGCCATTACTTGTATGTGTATCCAAATTTCATAGATGTTAAAATACAAAAACAAGGTCAGAACTGGTATTTCCTTGTGACAAAAAGGGGAAAGGGAAAGTTATCTACACTTCTGTTTAATCTATAAATCTAAAAGTAATTCGATTGAATTATATTAAATGGTATAAAAATATTTTAGGCAGGCTGGGCGCGGTGGCTCACGCCTGTAATCCCAGCACTTTGGGAGGCCGACACGGGTGGATCACGAGGTCAAGAGATCGAGACCATCCTGGTCAACATGGTGAAACCCCGTCTCTACTAAAAATACAAAAAATTAGCTGGGCATGGTGGCGCGTGCCTGTAATCCCAGCTACTCAGGAGGCTGAGGCAGGAGAATTGCCTGAACCCAGGAGGCGGAGGTTGTGGTGAGCCAAGATCGTGCCATTGCACTCCAGTCTGGGTAACAAGAGCGAAACTCCGTCTCAAAAAATATATATATATATATTTAGGCATATACATGTACTTATAATTTTATAAAAAGAAAAGCCTGTGTGAATATATATGTATGCATAAACATGTGTATGTGTAAACATATTATGTACATATAAAAGAAATATAAAAATAATATTTTCAATATAATATCAAGGTATGGGGGAATACTGAATCTATCTTTTTAATTTCTAAAGGGTGTGAATATTGTGGGTGATGGCAAGAAAAGGAAATGAGAGATGATCAGATAGCAGAATGAGAAAAGAGTGCTACTTCTATTTTTTAACATATATATATTGGTCTCTCAATAATGTACAGTCACAGGACAAAATGTGATAGTTACTACTGGAAAAGCACAAGTAAAGGAAAGAGAGATTACTACGGAAAGAAGGTCACTCAAGTTTTCTTGAATCAGGTCAGATTCCCACAAACAGAAAAAGGGAATAAAAATTTTAGTAAAGG